GCCTACTGAAAAAGTGTCTGATACTCAAGAAAGTATTGAAGCAGAATTGGACCAGGAAGAGGTTGAGAGACAAGATGAACTGGATAAAGAAAACCTTAAAGCGCCTACTGAAAAAGTGTTTGATACTCAAGACAGTATTGGAGCAGAATTGGACCAAGGAGAGGTTGAGAGACAAGATGATCTGGATAAAGAAAACCTTAAAGCGCCTACTGAAAAAGTGTCTGATACTCAAGAAAGTATTGGAGCAGAATTGGACCAGGAAGAGGTTGAGAGACAAGATGAACTGGATAAAGAAAACCTTAAAGCGCCTACTGAAAAAGTGTCTGATACTCAAGAAAGTATTGGAGCAGAATTGGACCAGGAAGAGGTTGAGAGACAAGATGATCTGGATAAAGAATACCTTAAAGCGCCTACTGAAAAAGTGTCTGATACTCAAGACAGTATTAAAGCAGAATTGGACCAGGAAGAGGTTGAGAGACAAGATGAACTGGATAAAGAAAACCTTAAAGCGCCTATTGAAAAAGTGTCTGATACTCAAGACAGTATTAAAGCAGAATTGGACCAGGAAGAGGTTGAGAGACAAGATGAACTGGATAAAGAAAACCTTAAAGCGCCTACTGAAAAAGTGTCCGATGGAAGCCATGTTGACAACACTCCTTTAATTGAAACACAGGTTCAGGTTGTGCATGAAGATCACCTGTCTCCCAATGAAGCAATTAAGGAATCAGTTGGAGAGTCAGATTCTTCTGAACAAGAACCCAAGGTAGAAAAAGATGAGGAGGACAGATCAATCCAAAATCAGCTTGAAGTGCAACTGCCTGAAGATGGAGAAGACCTTCTGGTAAAGTCAGATGTGGCTGCTCAAGAGCTCAAGGAAGAAGACGAGGAAGAGGAAGATGAAGGAGAATCATTTGATTTTGATGAAATGGATCTTGAAGCATCATCAGATGTCCCTCTAAAAAACTTTCTAGATCAGCCAAAAGAGGAAGAGACTCTTTTCAAAGATGATGTCCAAGAAGCAAGCCAGGAAAACCAAAGCAATGTCACTGATGAGGACCAAATTCAAAAAGAACATCTAGAACTTGCAGATCAGGAATCAAAGCCAAAGGAGCAGAAAGATGATGGACAAGACACAGAAAACCCACAAACAACAACAGTTATAAAAGGATGTTTAACAGAGGAAAGCCAAATCAGCAGTGAAGTCAAACCTAATGATCAGCAGCATGATACTTCTGGAAATAAAGAAGATGCATTTGAGGAGCATCAGCAGGCATCAGAAAACGTGACGCTCAGTGAAGGAGTTAATCTGATCTCAGAGATGGAGAAAAGAAATGTAGGCCAAGAGATCAATAGTTCCATTCAACATGACAACAAGGTGTCAAGTATTTCAGGAGATCAGGAAGTTGAGAAGGAAACCACAGAAAGAAACAAGGAAGATGAAAGAAAAGAATCTAAAAAAAGTGGAAAAGGGAAAGGGAAGGGCAAGGGGAAAGAAGAATGTAAAATGTCTTAATAGACAAGGACATTGCCGAGTCTCTTCTCAGCATCTTCAATTGAAAAAGTAATTTGCACTTATGTAGGTCCTAATGAAATTATTTTGGGACCATTACTTCAGAGAACCGTAAAATAAACAGTTATCTTACAGTCAAACCCAATTATCAGTCATTGCATCTTTTTCAGCAAACATATTTTATGCATGTTTATCACCTGATTAACAATACAGAAACAGTATTTAAAATCCCTAAACCAATTACACATTAAATGCTATATGTAATGGGTATAAAGTGTCATATTTATTATGAAATTTTACATGAGCATGAATAAAATGTTTCTCATACTATACGAGTAATACAAATGATCAGCTTTCTGTCTGTGCTGCAGTCATGTTTAGCAGCTTCTTAATTACAATGTTTTCGGTAACAAAGGACCTGTAAAATTTTTTTAAATGGGTGTTATGTTGTTTAAAATTGTGGTAAATAAAAAATGTTATTGTGTGCCAACCTTATTAAACATTCCTCTAAAAATTTGACTGGAGCTTTGAAGTTACGTTTTGTTTTTACAATTTATTTGTTGGGAGATACGATTGGGAAATTTTTTTTATATTTTATTCTGTTTGGTGAAGATGTTGTTGGAACATTGAGACAGTGTTTAAGTGAACCATGTATTTTAAAAATAAAACTTAAGCAATTAAAAATGTTTTACACTATTGTTTATTGATTGTGTAAGTTTTAATTGACATTTAATTAAACTGCTTCAGATAAGATTGACTTACTTTTAAGTCATGACCCAATTATCAGTCATTGCATCTTTTTCAGCAAACATAATTTATACATGTTTATCACCTGATTAACAATACAGAAACAGTATTTAAAATCCCTAAACCAATTACACATTAAATGCTATCAGTAATGGGTATAAAGTGTCATATTTATAATGAAATTTTACATGAGCATGAATAAAATGTTTCTCATACTATACGAGTAATACAAATGATCAGCTTTCTGTCTGTGCTGCAGTCATGTTTAGCAGCTTCTTAATTACAATGTTTTCGGTAACAAAGGACCTGTAATGTATTTTGTTTAAATGGGTGTTATGTTGTTTAAAATTGTGGTAAATAAAAAATGTTATTGTGTGCCAACCTTATTAAACATTCCTCTAAAAATTTGACTGGAGCTTTGAAGTTACGTTTTGTTTTTACAATTTATTTGTTGGGAGATACGATTGGGAATTTTTTTTTATATTTTATTCTGTTTGGTGAAGATGTTGTTGGAACATTGAGACAGTGTTTAAGTGAACCATGTATTTTAAAATAAAACTTAAGCAATTAAAAATGTTTTACACTATTGTTTATTGATTGTGTAAGTTTTAATTGACATTTAATTAAACTGCTTCAGATAAGATTGACTTACTTTTAAGTCATGGAAGTTTTATTTTTTAGGACATGAATTATAGTATGTCACACATTCATTGCATCACAAACCTCAAGTAAGCTCACATGAAAAACACTGTCATGTAATAGATGTACAGATTGAGCGAACGCTAAGAGATTTTGACTACATGAGGCTGAAGCCTCTGAGATCACTGAAGTTTCTGCATGTTGTCCATCCTCATCCTTCACATCCCAGCATAGGATAGCTTCACTTTTTGCATGCCCTGACTCCTCCCCCTCCATGCCTTTGGCCCCTCCCACCCCTGGTATGTGAAATCTTTCCTGTCTAACCTTGGAATTTGTTTTAACATGAGAATGTAATATTCAGAAGCTGTCGTTTAGTTTTTATTTACAAACTTGGACACCACATCTATTGACTGACCACTAACAGGATATAGAACCTTACTTGCTGCATTTTTGATTTGTTAATGTCTCGCGGTCTTGCTGTTTTTTTTTTTTTTTTAACAATTACATTTTGGGCTAAAAGTGTGTTGTAACGCATGCATTACTGAACATGTACCGAGTAAAATATTACTGAAAATTGATTAGTAATGCCTTACACTACTGCGTTACAGCAAAAAGTAATCCGTTACTGTAATGCATTACTTTTGTAACGCGTTACTCCCAACACTGGTCCTGACTCATGGTCCTTTGCCAATCCTGTTCCCAACTCTCCACCTCACGCTTTCCTGTCATTCTCTACTGACCTGTCTGTTAAAAACCATAGAAAAGGGCAACAACAAAAAAAAGTACAATTCCCATTATAGCCAGTAAAACCATTACAAATTATGTGATGGTTTCTATTGTTTTTTTCAGCAGGGCTACAATAGCTGTTGCTGGCAATCTGCCTCGGAACATAAACATTTGAGAAACACTCTGCATTTATTTGCACATGTTTTCCCACGCATCTTTTTTGGATTTGGAGGTTATACCAACTCCAAATTTTCCTTTGATTATGTCCTTGTTTTCATTAACTCTAGTGCAGCTCAACCAGGTCTCGTCCCATTCGTCAGTATATGTGATATCACAAATCACGGAAAATATGCATTGTAGTCCAAACGAGTCGTTCGTTGTAGTTTTTGAAAAGTGATTTCTGTTAAATAAAATATCTACTTTTGAAGTGGACTTTGAGCTTTGTAAATTTGCAGATCTTTTTTATGCTCAAACAGCAACATTACAGACTAACTAAAGTTAAAAAGTGAAAAAGCATAATAGGACCCCTTTAAGACTTCTCTCTATTCCTTAGTAAAAGTTTGTCTCAGCAGCTTTGTGAATAGGTTTTAAGAGAAAACTCTTAGCTAAAAACTTTTACTGCTATTTAGGAGAACTCTTAGTAGTAAGATAAAATGTTTTGTGAATACGGGCCTTGGTTTATTGCCAGAGCACATAAGACCCTCAGCCTCAGATGTTGAGAAATGTGGTCCAGTGTCCTGACATTTTATCCTACCTGTCAGATTGTCCTACCAGGCCTTACTGCGCATGCACACATGAATGAGTCATTTTTCTCATGCTGAACAACAAAAATTGCTGCATTTGTATTACTGTAAGAGGTAGGTTTAGGGTTGGGGTAGGTGTATATGTTATTAAAACACAATCTAATCGATAGAAAATTTTTATTTACTTTTGGTTTTTGGCCGTATCTGTATCCCTTCTTACCACAACCACGAATAACACAATTACTGTATTTGCATTACTGTAAGGCTAGGTTTAGGGTTGGGGTAGGTATAGATGTTAATAAACCGTAATTTGACCGGTAGCATTTTTCGTTGTCGAATTGTACTACCTACTGTTTTAATGGGAGGTAGCAAAATCTGACAGGGTAGCACAAATCGACAGAACACCGGATCTGTTCTGCTATCATTAAAAATGGCTGTGTTCACTCTCATCTTAAAGAAACCTGGACTAGATTCATCTGTTCTGAATAACTTCAGACCTATATCTAATCTCCCTTTCGTTTCCAAACTGCTTGAAAAAGTGGTTGCTCTGCAGCTACAAGCACAGCTCTCTGCCAACAATCTTCTTGACCCCTATCAATGTGGTTTTCAATCAGGCCACAGCACTGATATAGCACTGCTAAAAATTACCAATGACCTTTTAGTATCTGCTGATTCTGGCTTTATCAATGTTCTTATCTTGCTGGATTTAACAGCAGGTTTTTGACACCGTATCTCATCATATACTTATTTCTCGGCTATCAGCTATTGGCATCACGAGTACTGCTATGTCTTGGTTTATATCAAATCTCTTGGATAAACGTATCTTTTCTAAACTTTAAATCATCGTCTTGTTCACTCTTGACCCCTATCAATGTGGTTTTCAATCAGGCCACAGCACTGATATAGCACTGCTAAAAATTACCAATGACCTTTTAGTATCTGCTGATTCTGGCTTTATCAATGTTCTTATCTTGCTGGATTTAACAGCAGGTTTTTGACACCGTATCTCATCATATACTTATTTCTCGGCTATCAGCTATTGGCATCACGAGTACTGCTATGTCTTGGTTTATATCAAATCTCTTGGATAAACTTATCTTTTCAAAACTTTAAATCATTGTCTTGTTCACTCTCAAGGTGTCCCTCAAGACTCTGTTCTTGGACCTCTCCTGTTCAACATTTATTTGCTTCCCCTTGGTCAAATTATCTATAGCTACGGTCATTGTTATGCTGATGACCTGCAAATTTACATATTAGGTCGCTCCGCCTCTACTCTTTCACTTGATTCACTGAATGCCTGTATTGCTGACATTAAAATATGGTTACATAGCAACTTCCTACAACTAAATGACAATAAAACTGAGTTTATTGTATTTGGTCCACCATCTCTCTTGAAAAGTCTGAACTGAGTATTTCCATTGATGGGGCTTTGTTAACACCATATTATTCCATTAGAAATTTGGGTGTAATATTTGGCTCGTCACTTACATTCCAATCTCATATTAGTTCTATTACCATTTTACCACCTCCACAATATTGCCTGTCTGCGTCCTACTCTCAGTACCAAAGACACTGAAACTCTCATTCATGCCTTAATAACTTCTCGTCTTGATTACTATAACTCACTTCTCATTGGACTGCCAGCTAAAACTATTACTAGGCTACAGTATGTTCAAAACTCTGCCGTTAAGAGTCATCAATCAAGACAAAAATTCTGAACAAATTACCTCCATAATGTGGCCACATTTATTTATATACTTTACAACAAATGATTCTACTCGTGGGCAATTTAGTGTATTATGTGACATACATTACTTTATAATCTACATTGGTTGCCCGTTTCTGTTCGCATTCAGTATAAATTCTTTTGTTAACTTTTTAATGTCTTCATGGACTTGCATTATCTATCTGAACTGCTGCACTATTATAGACCTTCTCGCTCTCTTCATTCATCTGATTCAAACCTGCTTACTGTACCTCATTTCGTCTCATATCAATGGGTGGTAGATCTTTCAGTGCTGTAGCTCCGAAACGCTGAAATTCTCTTCTACCAATTCTTCACGACACTTGATATCATCATTCATATCTCAACTAAAAACCTATTGTTTCTTACAGTATTTCCAGCCTTCTTCTGATTAATGTTTTGCTGCGAAACTACTGGGTATTTGTGTTGTGCTTTCTGGTTTTGCTGTCAAGTCACTGTGTATTTATATGTATGCATGTGTATATGTATGTACTGTATACTATCACAAGAATTTATGATTAAAGCTGTGTTTATGTATTTTCTCCTTGTACAGTGACCTTGAGCTTGGGAAAGGCACTTCATAAATAAAACGTATCTGTAAATGTTCCTTATTTCAGGGGATGCAAACAGACAAATCAATGACCTCAAATTTAAGCTTGTCAAATCAGAGCAAGAAGTCACAGCACTTGAACAGAATGTGAGTTCTTTTAATATATTTCATTACTATTAATTGTAACTCATTTTACTCTTCTAAAATATGAAACGGTGAAACATTCTGAAGTGTTTTTAATTGAAACTCACATTGTAGGTCACAAGGCTCGAGGGTCATGTGACCCGTTACAAATCTGCATCTGAAAATGCAGAGAAGGTGGAGGACGAACTCAAAGCTGAAAAACGCAAACTGCAGCGAGAGGTAAAATAGCTCTGCTTTCATTAAAATATATACAAAGTTATGCTTACGTGTACATATAATAAAATGAATGGCATGCTCAACTATTTTTCATGGTAGTTGCGCTCTGCACTGGACAAGATTGAAGAGTTGGAGTCCAGTAACAGCCACCTCTCGAAAAGGCTGGAGAAGATGAAGAGTGGCCGGGGAACAGCAACAACTCCCTAATGGTTTCAGATCTATCCCATCATCTGCCAGAATTCACCTCCGCTGCCTGTATATTTCACATCATTCTGCACCTTAAGCAAAGTTGATAAAACTATAAACAAGTCCATGAGAACCCTGCTACGTAATATCCTGCAACCGTGCCATTTCTTCCTGTTTATCCATTTAGGTTGAGTTCTTCATTTTTGGAGAACCCAATCAGGACTTTCGAAGGATGCAGGACTCTTAGTGTGCCTCATTCAAAAGCACAAACCCTGTAGTTCAAAAAGTTAGAATGGTAATTGTCACGTGAATGTTGCTGAATTGATTTGAGCGTTACGTGCAAGGCTGCCTGAGATTATTTGGAGAAGGATCTGAAAAGATACTCTATGGAATTTTGAATCTGAAGATCAGGACATGTTGTCCAGCTCTAGGAAGTCTGTATAGCCATTTGTTTGGTTAAAGACACTTGTTGCTTCTCTAAGACAAGACAGATGAGTATGTATGATTGTGTGTTTGATGCTTTCATGTGTTCCACTCACAAATATATTTTATTAACACTGTTGAGTAATCTAGATCTTCCTTATGTATCTGAAGCCAAAGGTTCTGAAGTAATATTGAGGTCTCACAGCTGGCTCTTGCCATCGGTGTTCTTTTAATTATTTTTTTCCTCTAATGAATTCTCTATAATGGTCTTCCTAACATGCTGAAAGACCAGTGTGACATAACTGAGGATGAATACGGATTCTTAGTGAATTTTGTTGTTGCATTGACGCTGACAATTCAACCACCTAACCGAACCACATAAATCAGGAAGTTGTACAAGGATTTCAGGCTAAGCAGCAACTTCTGGTGTTGTTGCCTTTGACAAGATTTAACATTAACGACCTCCAGGTGATGAAAAAGCTTGGAAGATTCAGAACAGTCTCATCCTGTCCAAACCAATTATGAGGAATGATGTGATCAGAAGCATTAATTGTTGAAGACTGTTGTGATCACAAGCACCATTTATTATCACCAGCCTGGATGAGAGGTGGCTCCACCCGGTTTGCAATGCTTTAAACCATTTGTAGGTTAACTTTATGAAAACTGTATGAATTATGATCCGCAATAAAATGTCCATTTTAATTTAAAAGTTGTTTGTATATACATTCACCTAACATGACAGTGATACCAACACTGAAGAGCCAGTGTACTGTGAACCAAAGAAATTATGAAACATTTTCTAAACGTGTGCCATGTGCATTTGTGACCTGAATATAAAATAAAATACAAACATGCATACATAGTATACATACTTTATTTGGAACCTCAGAAAACAAAGCAACCAAGACTAACAGGTTGATATGGAAAATGTATATTTAGCACACTTTAAACATTGGTGAAATAAAACCGCAACTCTACCCCTCATACATACCAGTTTCTCTGACTTTAATTTTCTTAAAAGAAACTGAAAAGTATATTTCTTTGTGAATTAAAGAGAATCAAAGATTTTTTCCATTATAACCTCTCTTCTATAACTTCAAAATTAGATAAGTGAAGATAAACTGAACGACATAATATGCAGTGGAATTTTGTAATTTCTACACACGTGAAATGTAAAAAGTTGTGTCCCACAATCAAAAGAGAATGAATATGATAGATAAAGAGTATTGTGTGATTATTATAGTGCAGCTGAATCACTACCAAAGCAATATCTACTTTATTCAGGGACCCGTTTCTTCTATCTGGGATGTACGATACTCCACAACAGACTTTTTCATGTTCTTATCTGGAGTAAGATCTGTGCAACTAAGTGGCTTCCCTGTAACTGGATCATTATTGTTCCTGCAAAAATAAATGGGAAAAAAATAACATTATATTTCTACTATACACCTCAATATAGAAGTCAACAATAAAACGAGAGACATCCTTTGATAACCCCCACAGGTGGATCTAAGCATGCAAGACAACATACTTTTTTAATAGCATTTACTTTTCCACGACATTCTAATTTATTGAGATGCACCTGTAATGTTGCTATGATAATATCATGGATTATGAAAATAGTTTGTCTGTGGGCCTCTGTCTAGTTAGGAACCCTGTTACTCATGTTCGTCATCACTGTCTTTTGCAAATCTTAGTTTCATTTAGAAAGTGGGTGAATACCATAACATTTCATCAAGGAGTAAACTCACTTTCCCTCAATGGTGCAACTCCTCATGAACAGTAAGAAACAAGACAATTCCTCTGAGCACCCAACTCAGAACTCTTAATGCACTAACACAAATAAATTGTGAATAAATATCAATGTAACGCAAATGTACTTTTTCAGAGACTAATCCACTGAATCTTACGTCTTAAGATATTCCTCAATGGCTCTTCGCTCATATACACATCCACCTTTGGTCTTGACGGGATTAACGAATATCTTCCCTGACAAGGGACATACCAGATGAGGAGGCACTGGAACGTTGCTCTCACCTATGTATTGCTGAAAAGCAGATTGAAATGCGAAAAATAAATAATCATAGGTGATTTTTTTTAAATAAATATAAAACAAGATAATATCCTAACAAATATGTGCATATAGGAATTATTCACAATTTAATTTACTACAAGTGTACAGAGCTCAGATTGCTACATGATTAAATATCATTTTAACCTGTTGAAATATTGAGAAGGGGCTGCTCAAGTACCTTTCTATATTCTTAATCTCATTTTCACGCTTTAAAAATATATATTTTTATTTTTGTTCTTAAGACATTTAAAACTGTATGACTGTAGACAGCGTGTCCTTAAAGATTCATAAACATGATTCCTCTTTGACAAAAATTCTGGACCTCATTTGTTGGTAATAATTGAATGAAAAAGAATGTACCTTTTCAATGGATTCCATGGACTGACATGCGTTTACTGCAGTGTCATCTTTAGCTGCCTGCTCATAGATTTCTTTGCTAGTCAGGAATTCCTCTGCTAATATGCTGAAGATACGATAGACAGTGGACAAAAATACATGTATTCATTCATTATTTGTTGTATCCTTAAGTTTATTACTTTAGAATCGGATCAACGTTAAATAATGTAATGCATTTTACAACTTGAATGGGCTTTAATCTCTGTCCTGATTATATTAGATTTGTTAAGTCCATTGAATAATAATAAACTTCTAGAGATTTAAAATGGTAATGAAAAAAAACACACCAGATGAAGAATAAGAGGCTACCTGTCTAGTGGATCATCAGCCTCTGGGAGTATCAGAAGTCCATATACAGCATCCAAGATCTCTCTCATAGTAACATCAGCCGAGTAGTTTCGATCAAATATGTTGTGGCAAATCCTTCCCACACTGTTGATGTTGCAATGGTAAATCTGTACTGCAGTTAAGAATTTATAGAGTACAAAATGCTAAGGTGTTCTGCGCTCTACTCTTAATATATTAATCAAAAACAGAAATCAGTTTCTAAAAATTACTGTGACACTTCTAAGGCTTCAGGATACAGGAGTATAGAACCGAACAACAGGTGGTTTCACTGGATAATCACGACCAAACTGACAATACAGCTCAAAGGTTCCATTCTCATAGGGAGTTTCAGGCGGTCCTTTCATGACAATCCTCCAAAAAGCTGAAAACAATTAAACGCATGACAACTTTATTGTACATTTTACTTGTATGTGTAACTTTGACTACATTTAATTAGAGGAAGCAACTGACACTATATCCGAGGATTAAGTGGCAGATACTCAAACCAATTAATGCGTTACCAGGTTTTTGAGGATCATGGCTGTTTATGTGAGCAATACAGATCAAAGAAGCCTCTACCCATAAACAGGAAGTGTAAGGTGGTTAGAGAATGTACATTTTAGACAACATACTGTATAGTAAAAGATTAACTGCCTTACAATTAGTCAAGTATCAAAAACATTAGGCCAGTTTTGTAAAGATATGCAAGCAAGCAACCTAGTTTGATGTATGCCCCCCCGTTACTGATATTGTTCATTATTATTTAAATATTGATCAAATTATTAACAATTACTGATGTTAGGAACTATTTGTACACTTCATGCATGAAAATCTAACGGCAGGAGAAAAAGCATGAACTGTCTTTCATACTTACTGAAGTCGGTTTCTGAGGGATACACAGAACAAAATGGATGGGGATCACAGTGAAGACTTTTCAGTTCTTCTATGATCCGTTTATCTTTCTCCATGAAGCGGCCTGACTTGCATTCTTGTATCTTCTTTTTTAGTACACTAATAAGGAAATTAATTGTATTTTAGTATGTAGTATAAAGATAGTTAGGCTACCATAATATTCCCTATAACTTGTTAAGAGTGTGTACTTTGGGAATAGTTACTAGAATTTTTTTAAGAAAAGAACCACATGCGTTTTTAAATTATAACAATTGTCATCATTTTGTAATCATAGTAATTTTGCGCAAAAAACTTCCGCACTACTTGAAAACAGGTCACATCACTTTCGTTCAGGTGTTTTGCTCCTGTTTTACTCAAGATGTCTACAGAGGAGATACCAAAGATAAAGCAATATGGCTCTATATCAACAACTGTGGTGGTTATTTGTAGGGATGCACCGATACCGATATCGGGCCCGATACTGAGCTCATGTACTCGTTAAAATGCCCCGATACCAAACCCCGATACCACACAGCATGTGATGAGTGCCATATTCACACAAAGAAACACTGACAAAAGAACAACAGACAGCAGAATGAAGTTATTAGAGATTAGGATGTCTACGAAGTATATGTATGCAATGCATATAATGTTAAACATTCAGTATTAACGCCTGTATAGCCGATGTGCGTGCGCTGATAAGCAAAGCACACTGATAAGCAAAACACGCTGAGTGGATTGTGCGCGCGGCGGCAGATGCGCGAGCTTGTCGAGTGAATATACCTCTCACACACATCACTGGAAAGTTTGTAGTTCGGTCGGTTGTGTCAAAAACTAATAAGTAAAACAATGCACAAGTTACTTAATGGTAGGGAGAGAGAGAGGGAGAGAGAGAGAGAGAGAGGGGGAGAGAGATAGAGAGAAAGAGAGAGAGAGCGAGAGCGAGAACTTCTGTTGTGTGATCTTTGATGTTCACTTAGCACACACATCATTTGGATTAAAGCGCGCGGCGGCAGATGCGCGAGCTTGTCGAGTGAATATACCTCTCACACACATCACTGGAAAGTTTGTAGTTCGGTCGGATATGTCAAAAACAAGTAAGTAAAACAATGCACAAGTTACTTAATGGTAGGGTGAGAGAAAGAGAGAGAGAGAGCAATTCTTTTGTGTGATCTTTTGATGTTCACTCACTTAGCACACGCATCATTTGGATTAAAACTAAATCGTAAAAAATAAGACCATTTATAGGGGCCTTTACTATAAACACAATTTATTTTCAACCTTAGGCATACACGACTTTCTGGCGAAAGTGAATCTAGCAGCCTGTGTGAAATGCGCTAGACTGTACTTGTCCCTCTCATTCTGCACCAGTACAAATACGTGCACGCGTTGCGCATGTTTTGCTTGCTTGAGTGTTTGTGCATTACAGTATATGAGTGGCTTTGGAATATAAATCGCAGCACGTTTCAGATGAAAAAAACGCGACTTCTATTACTGAAAATATCACAGTTTGGAGATTTATAACGAGTTGTTCCCTGTATTATTACAGCAGAGCGCGTGATTACAGTACTAAGCCGCTGCAATGGAGGAGCTCTAATGCTATTAAATTAAAGATGTACCATAGAGCAAAAAATGAACAGTGGAAGTAACAAAAACTTGTAAAATACATTTTAATGGGCACAATTAAGTGTGAAAATAACCAAGGGTATACAGTCAAACCAAAACTTATTCAGAGACCAGATATAATTTTTTATATTTTTTTACTAGTGGGTGCAGGACACTATAGTTAATTTATGTAAGTGAGGATAGCAAAATAAAGTAAACTGTGACAAATTATAAATTCTTCAAATTCTTCATACAGTGGACTACGAGTAAAACTGATACAAATTTGGGACCAAAAATTATTCAGACCGAGTCTGGGAAAAAAAATTGAAGTTCAGGTTTGCATGAAGCTGGGTGACAGCACGCCCAGGGGCCGGTTGCACCAGCTAGACATAAAAACGCTGGGTGTAAGCCCTACGCTGGGCTTTGCAATGTCCAGTTTTACGATAAATATTTACACCTGTTGCACCAACTGAAACTACGATCAGGCGCAACTACGCCCGGCGTAGACAATGCGCGTCCATGCCGACACATTCTCCCTCAGTTATAGATATAGCTGAGACGACGTTCATGCAGCAATGGCTACAACTACTAGCCTAATATAGAACTGAATTGCTCAAGACACAATATAAGTGAAATCACCGCACTATGATTTCATTGAGTAAACATTTCCTAACAAGTCCGCGTTTTTATATCTGAAGTCTCCCTGCACACTCCCATGACCCATCTAGAGTTATTTTTTTTTTATAGCTGACTATCAAGTTTATGTACAAAGAATGTCTTTCCTGAGGTAATTGTGACTTTACGTGAAATTTTGTGTTTTGCTGTCTTTCTGTGGCTGAAAAAACACGTTTATGGTTTGTATTATGTGATCAAATTTACAGAATTTGAAAGCTGATAATTTATTTCAGATTAAAAGTAACAAAGCACAAAACTTATTGCGATTATTGGATGGCAGGCACGCTACAAATAATGAATTGAATTAAAGACGTGAAACATTTTCAAGCACACTGTCCTTCCAAGCAAGATGTCAAATGGTTCAGTTTATTTTAATAATCCCACTTCATATGTAATATTTTACTGCATAATTATTACATGCTTGACAGAAATATATTTTTTTATTCAATGTCTACAGTGGGGTAGGATAGCACAGAGCTTCGCGATTGATATCGCTTTTCCTGCCCGAAAAGACCATGAACATTACAGGTCACGTCTGCAGTAATAATTAACTAACAGACATGAATCCTAAAAACGAATAATGTCCGAGCAAATCATGACTCTTCACTTTACACCTACCTCTGACTAGGCGTAAGATTTAGCGTCAGACGTAGCACTACGCCGAGATGGTGCAACGTGTATAAATTCTATGCACGACTTAAAGCGCATTTTACGTCCAGCCTAGTCTTACAACCGGGTGTACGTCCAGCTGGTGCAACCGGCCCCAGGAGACTACAGGCTGCCATTAAGGCCAAGGGTTGCCCGACTAAGTATTGATAGTTGTGTAAATACTGTCATACTAACAGATGTCAGAATTTTTGGTTGATTGTAATTCATTACATACCTTTCTATCAAAGTTATCTAACATTATCAAGCTGAATTAGTTCTGAAACAGTTTAACTCTGAGTTTTTGTTATATTTTATTACCATTTTCTAAACTATAGCGAATAAACTGTGATAATGTGAGAAATGTTGAAGGTGTCTGAATAAATTTTGGTCTATTTATCTAATCTATTTGATAAATGAAGTTAACCAACTAACATTATACATACTCTTTTGGTTTCTGTACCCAACATTTAAAAAAAATTTTACAAATACAATAAAAATATCGGTATCGGTACCGGCAAGTACCAAAAATAAAAGTATCGGTATCGGGTGAGTACTGGAAAAAAGCAGTATCGGTGCATTTCTAGTTATTTGTCAAATCTGATTTCACGCGTCATAGTTTCTGGGTCCAAACACTATTATAGAGCTCAAATGCACATTGTAACTTTTTAAAAGCTTAGCTATAAATGAACAGTAGGTCTGCATGGAAAAGAGTAAAGGCTTAGAGCTAGAAACAGTATTTGATATGTCACGACTTGACTTAAGTGGAAAGAGCCATATCAAACTCTTGTTCACGTGTAATTTAAAAAAATGTAAAAAAAAATAGTGGACTTATAGTCTGTATTTGTGGACAGTCAATAATACTTCTCTGTCCTGGCCGATTTCTTAGTGATTTGAGCAGGAATCTTCATTTCCGGTCTTTCATCGTAGCCATGGGTGGCAAAAATTTTGGTCAAGTCTTCCTATTGATAACAAACAAAAGAAAAAAAAAATCTAAATCTTGCAGTTGATAAGACATTTTCCACAATAACTTCAGTTATTTGCAGAAATCCTTATTTTTTTGATCAGATATACATGTATACCGACCCTAATAAAAAAGTAATACAGTATATTGAAAATACATTTATTTCAAACTAAGTATAGTTTTAAATCTAACAACACATTTACTGACATATCGCTCAAGGCTTACTGATGTAAAAATAATAATTAAACTTTATTTGGAGTGATCCTACGCAGAGCAGAGTGGCACCGGAGACGGGGGAGAGAAAGAACCAGGAAGCGAGCGGCTTTTATTGCCAATCCCTTCGGTTTTACAAAACAACTGCTTGGGGACCAGCGTAACGGTCGGCTTGAGTGCTCAATAGAGGAAGTGAATCGCTTCCTCCAGGACACAGTGAGCGATTCCCTGAGAGAGCAAGACCTGGAGCTCAACAAAGCTCTCGTCAGCCCCACCCCTCCAACAACAGAGTTCAACTTGAAGGGGCCAAGTCTGAAGGAGGTTGAGGAGCTCATCAAGGCAGCTCGCTCAGCATCTACTCCAGACCCCAGTGGTGTACCTTTTTTGGTTTATAAGCGCTGCCCAGACCTTCTCCGGCACCTGTGGAAGATCTTGAAGGTGATGGAAGCAAATGAAAGGAAACGCGCTAAGTACCAGGAACTGGTGGAGAAGTGCAGGGAGAGAGGCTGGAGAACCTTCTATGAGCCTATAGAAGTCGGCTGTAGAGGCTTTGCAGGACGTTCACTTTGCAAAGTCCTCAGTCGTTTGGGCATTACAGGGGTGGCCAAGAAGAGGGCCATTCAAGCCGCGAGCGAAGCTGCAGAGAAGGCCACAAGGTGGCTTTGGTTTAAGAGGGCTGATCCGTGGGCTGCTACTGGGATGCAAGTCGGGGCTTGATCAACCCCGGCTGGGTCGCCTGGGCGAGGGTGTATGATGTTGCGAGACCCGAAACACCCAATGACCCCAGGGTACATCACTGAGGATGTGTCCCAGTGCATTCATGAGATGTTTCTTGTATAGGAGTGCTTCTGCACAATGCACATTTCTTGATATTAAGCCTAAAATGTGTTTTAATGTCACTATTGATGAGGATTGTATGATCTTTGAATAATACAGGTTTTTAAAAGGAAGATATTTAAAGAGTACTTGCAATAGTTCCACTTTAGCACAACCAAATATATTTCAGTTCATCTTTAGTTGGACTTCAGCACAATTGAAGTGCATTAAGTACAAAAGTAGTTCCATACCATGAAATATATTTCAAATACATTTTAGTATATTTATTTTTCACTAGGGGAGGTTATGTAAAGAGAGAGACTTTCATTAAAATATAGGAATATCCATTATCTGTAACGTATGGTAGGTAATGGCTGGTAACAGGAAATGGCTTTCATTTCATACCTCCGTTTTTATGGAAGAAACAGGTACCCTTCTTCTCTCTGCCCTCAGCTCCATGGACAAGACAGTTTCCATCTCAAAAAGCCTTAGGGCAGCTTTTGCATTCTCAGGCTTAAAGCAATACCCACCTAAAATCAACAGAGAAAGCCACAATGATTTGTCAATCAAAAATGGATGTCATCAATAGGTGCACACTCCTTTCAGTTTTTAACTACAGCAGTTTAAACTCAGATTTGGCTAGTGCAAGGAGGCCCTACAGAGGTGGACAGTAGTGAAGTATTTTTACTCCGCTTTAAAAGTACATTTTTATTTATTTAAAAAGTATCTGTACTTCAGAGTGTCAGAGTGATTTTCTTCAGAAAACTTTTACTTCTCAACATTCCAAAGCAGCATAATGTACTTTTTCTGCACTGTTTCATATTAAATATAATTTAATACCTATTACATAAGTAAAACTTTGAATCACTTTTACTTAAGTAAAAGTACTAGATTTATAGAGTACAAGAAAGTAAAATTTTAATGTTCTTAATTATTAAAGGCAAACAAAAACTAACTTATTTATGAAATGTAGTGCAGTAAAAAGTATGGAATTATGCTTTGGAATGTAGTGAAGTAAAAATTTTCCATAGAAAAACACTTTTTAAATTTACTTGAGTAAAGTAAAAATACTTCACTACTGTCCACCTCTATAACACCAGAAATGTAACCTCTCAGCCCAGGACTCCACATCCACCATTCACTTTGTTTTTTCATATACAGTAAACCATGCTGTTGCACTCCCTCATAGCAAAGCATTACCAGTTCTACTGCCTTTTCTGGATTTGTTTGCTGTCGGACTGTCTCATTGTGTTATCAATCTCTGCATTACCCTGACCACAATTCCCTGCCTAAAATTTGGATTTGTCCGTTTGGTGTTTGATTATCAATAAACGTCTGCACATGGATTCTACTGCACCTAATGCAGTAATTTGTTAATGTACTGTTATCGGTATTGTGCATTTACTGTTTATCTGTATTATTAGTCTGTGCATTACGGCATCTCGATTGTTTTAGTAGATTCCAGACCATAGCTACAGTGCTGTTCTGAGAATTGTGTACTAATACAGTCACACTATTGGGTCAGACTGGTTTTATGTACCAGGATGTGCAAAAATGCAGAAACAAGTAACAACTTTCATTCTGTTATTTACAGAAAATACTGAAATATTTACTTAATTTATGGAAAAAAACTTTATAACTTGCCTTATAGGTTTGATAAGTGTGACCAAACATATTTATAAAATAGACCCATATAAAAAAAAAAAAATACAATAATTTAAATAAAAAACGTTATTATTCTGAGTTAATTTTGTGCTTTAAAATGAGTAGAAGAGAAAAATTTTAATATACACACAAACCTGTTACATAGCTGATTCCATGTAAAACAGTGTTATCTGCCTTGCCAACAATAACGGCATCGACCACAATATTGCTGGCCATCAATTTTCTGGCAATGGTGACTGGATTACTCATGGAACTGTAGAGTAGACAATAAATGTTATCCATAATCATTTTAGCTGGTGTAGTAACATTTTAAGACCATCAATTCAAGTAGTATATGAACAGATACACAAAGACACACACCTGAAATCGTTGCCATCTGTCAAACACAAGATGCGACATCTGCAAGCTGGAAAACTTTTCTTGATATTGTCAAGTTCTGAGATACCACGAACAAGTGCATCATATAACCTAGTGTACCCAGATGCTTCAATAGCATGCACTTGCTCCTACATGTAAAAAAGGAATATGCAATACATTATTGATTCAAAAAGTATACAACTGGCATTTATCATAAATGTTTTTTTCTTTCTTTAATTGAGATAATGGTGTAATAATCAGGACAAAAATACCTTGAAGGTTTCCAAATTTTCTGTGAATTTAAGAAGAGTTTTAACTTTGTCGTTAAACATCACAAGGCAGATGACATGCTGAAAATCATATGACATGCTTCGGTTTGAAAAGCTGTCAAAGATTTGCTTGACGGCATCAATGCGCATCATCTGACTGTCAGTGTCATAACATTCTTCCATCATTGAAGAACTTGAATCAAAGAGCACCTGATAAGAGCATTAATGAATTCATTTGAATCAATAGCTTGTATGTCAATGTAAATTATGCACTCTCTAAGTTATATAATTACTTTATGAAATCATAGAGCTTTGAAATTATTTAAAACTTCATGTTTATAAGTGAACATTCAAAAATAATGATTTCATATCTTATTAAATAAGTCTATTAACAATAACAACACCTTTTATGTGAACTCGCTATGGGGGGAAAAAAAGCTTTGTGAAGCACTACGACTTTCCTCAAAAAGTAAGCATGTACCAAACTGCTGTGTCGTGGCACAGTTAGGGATTATAGCCATTTGAAAGTGTAGTAAACATTACAAAAACGTCTCTAGTACTTACCACAATTGCCTCTTTGGGGGTTTTACTGACTTCAACAGAGTTGTCAGTTCTGGTATCATTGAGTCTGAATGGGTAAAATTGGAAAAAGGAGAAAATTATTATTTATACAATTTGTATTGTAAACCATACAAATATGCAAAAGCTTAAAAGAGCTGCTCAGTCATGAATTCTATATATATATATATATATATATATATATATATATATATATATATATATATATATATATATATATATATATATATATACACACACACACACACACACACACACACACACACAAAATAAACAAACCTTTAAGTTGATCAGCTAATGTAAAAGGTTTTTGATGTTTTTATTGTTAGATGTTTAAATCTGCTTTTTTAAAATCCAAATCTGGCTATTTGCAGTTTATTTGTAGAACACTATTGGCAAAATTGGCAGTAAAATACCCTATTTATAAATGTTTAAACTGAATAGGAAAACTTAAATGTTTACTCTGGTGATTTGACATTTATCAAAGTACTATAATTACATAGCCCCTGTTATTTATGGGGAAAAGATATACTTACATTTTAGCCAGATCATTCACATTTTGTGTGGTCTCTCTTCCAGACAGACAGTCGTAAACCCAAATCTTAAACGGGTCTCCCTTGACTTTGTTCAAGTAAACACCTAGATTATCTATATAGATAAACAATGTTAGATCAGAATATATGACAACACTGATACATTTTGCTAAATATAAACAGGGGAAAAAATCTTATTAGGTTTTTAACACTCAGGCAACCGAAACTTAAATGCAAATCTCCTATTTATGTTGTTTATCTTGTATATTTACTAGGGCTGCCCTCGACTAAAGATTTTTGGTTGACTAGTAGTCGTTCATTTTAAGCATTAGTCGACTAATTGCACGTTTATTAATAAACCATTTAAATCATTATAAATGAGCCTTTAATTGCCTACATAGCCTAATAAGCGCTCAAGCACAGGCATAAAGCTAGCCACAGCGCACCGCAGAAGTAATGATTATGAATGTGTCAGGGAAAAACAGTAAAGAGACTGCATTAACATTTTAATAATTTGATTAACTAGTGCCGTCTTTGTTTTCGGCTTCTGACTCGTCATCTCCGCAGTGATGCGCCTGTATGCAGGTTTCATATGGATTACATAATCGGAGAATATTTGTTTTCCATTTGAATTGGTTCATTTGAAAGTAGACATTTCACTCTCTATATATAATTTTAATGTCTGTAAGGCAAAGATATACACAGAGTTTTGCGCACAAATAAACAAAAGATATATTACTCTTATCTTTATGACCAAAAATGAGGGAGTATTTTAAGAGTGACCACACCGGCGCCTCCACCTGTCTTGCAGTGAGCGCACTACTGTTCAGCTTTCACACTCCACACAGACACTTGATCAGCACACATTTCTCTAGGTCAGTGGTTCTCAAACCGGTCCTGGAATACCCCCACTCCTGCACATTTTGTATGTTTCCCTCATCTATCACACCTGATTCAACTCGTCAGCTCATTAGTGGAGACTGCATGACCTGAAGTGGGTGTGTCAGATACAGGGAGACATACAAAATGTGCAGTGCTGGGGGTACTTCATGGAGAGGTTTGAAAACCACTGCTCTAGGTTAACATTAGATTGAGATCGGCCATGTAAAGTTGCTATAAAGTTGATTTCAGATGATAAGCCATATTTGATGAATGATAGGTGAGCGTTTGGATGTCCTGCATTACCACATAGACTAGTCGTTAACGATCTGTTCGTCACGGACTGCGTGACTTTGCCTGTGGATTTTTTTTTTTTTTTTTTTAATTTTTGTGACTAAGGAACCACACAATTTTTG